CCCCACTCCAGCAACCCTCAGTTTGTTTCCTACAATTAAGAATTCCTCATATCAGTGAGATCATATGATACATGTCTTTCTCTGTTTGACTTATTTCCTGAGTGATATATTTAGAAACACTGAATACATTTATAAAATTTTAACTAAATATAACCAAAATAAATTATCCTTTGCTTGGAATCAATTTCAGAGCATCAAACCACTATAGGTTGGGAGGTGGGGTGTAAGGGTATGGTGAGGCCAATCCAGGAAATAAAATAATAATACTGAATAGATGAAAACTAAATATGAAAGTTAAATGATGTTAAGTTACATGAAATGATAGTAATTGCTAATGGGAGCAAAATATGAATAAGAAAATGTATTTACTTTTCCATCAGAAAAACAACACCTACATTTTTCTTTGGCAAAAGATTAAATAATCATTGCCAGGCCATTAAATTAATGATGCTTTAGTTACAAAAGAGTTCACAAGATCTTACAATAATAGAAATAGGAGGATGGGACACTTACTGCAATGGATTCTTCATTTAGACTTACCCTTTCTAATAAAGTGTCATGAGGCAAGCTTAATGAAAACTCTATTTTTAAGTGAGGAATAAAAATGAAAGGCATTTATAGACAGGAACAATTTGAGAGGTTAGATGCAAAAGTCAATGTGACAATCACAGAAACATCAAATCCACAAATACAAAACTTCTAACGTTAGCTATACACAGGGTTCTAATAGTTCTTGACTTGAGAAAAATCTATAAGAAAATAGGTCCTTTAGCAATGAAAACAATTCAACAGTTAATGTACTTGAGAATTCTTCATTTTTGGTTGTTTCATGTTTGCAATTTATTTTGCTGCATTCCATTAGGGCAGGATGCTGCTGAACCCCACAGTGAGATATTTCAGTTGGCCAGTGTACCAGGATTGAGTTTTGAAACCAGAAGTGCACTGAGGGATAGTATGCGTTTTTATTTTTAATGGAAGGATTTGAAGTAGGAGGTCACTTAAAATATATTTAAGCTTCAATTAGAAATGAGGGTGACCCTATGATATCTGATCCAAAGAGATGATTTTTATTCATATTCTGTATTTTCGATAGTGCATAGCAGAACATAACAAATATAGAGTCAACACCTAATGAGATACCTCAGAATATATCCAGAGATTTGTGACATAAAAAGCAGTCAGTTCCTTAGTACTTACTAAATATTCTCTTTTTAAGAAATAAAAATGTAAAAGCAGACGACTATTGTTTCCTGATGTATATTTTTATTCATGAGAGATTTTTGTCAAAAGTCAAGACCTCCTATGATATGTTCTAAACCCTGTCCATTTTACAATACACTAAATATTATTATTACCTATAGATACCATGGGACTCCTTGTGCATAATGGATTCCAGTCCTCTTACAGAGTTGCATATGAAAATGTTATCAATGAGCTGCAGAATCTGGTATTAATAACTTTGCAACATTATAACAAATAGGTAGCCCTGATGTTTTGTTCTTTTTTTAATATATCAAATATATTTCATTGCTTACATTATAGTAGCAGATTGAAAACATCTGCTCACTTGCCACTAGTCCACCAGCAGTTGAAAATCTCAGCTCATTTTCCATAGGCCTGTATGTACCAGGGCTATAATCCAGCTGCTGAGGCTTGATATGGGGCCAGATTAATACTCCAGAGCCTTTGAAATGGAGATTGTGCTTTCTTACCAAAGATTAGAGCAATGATAGCCTGCATTTGCTTGTTCCTTTCTTTCTCTGCTCTTCTTTACCACCCTTCCTAATTGGATTGATTCCTGTCCTCCTACTATCCCCTCCCATTGTTCTTTCTCTACAGCTCCATCACCTGTCATGACGATTAAGAAGGATCGAACATCCAGAAACAGCATCTCTTTATCTTGGCAGGAACCTGAACACCCTAATGGGATCATATTGGACTACGAGGTCAAATACTATGAAAAAGTGAGGAGATGATGTTAAAGGGTTGGGCTGTGTAGGGAAAGAGGTGACCTTCTTATGAGCTATGCAATTGCCAAGAAACCAATGGCATTGCTAAGAAGTGGTAGAGCTCTGTTTGGAACTCTGGTCACATGATACCTTTGATTTATCAGTGGAGGGGGTTTTGAAATCATTGTGTCAAATATCCCCCATTTTTTAACAAGTCACAGCAAAGATGTCAGTACCAAACTTAAGCCATCTAGTTATGGCATTAGAAATGACATTTATGTATTCTACTGAGACCCCTGTTCTACCAATTATTTCACAGTGATTCCTGAGCCTATTGATGAGCTATTTCTTAGTTCATTGCCTTAAGCCTCATTTCTTGACCTTTACCTTCACATGAATTTCATTCAGTATAGATTGGAACATTGAACTAATAACAAAACCATTGTATTATTGAACTGACAATGAAAAGCTTTCTTGATACTGTACAAGGTAATTTAGAAGGTGGGAATGGATGGATAAGTTTGCTCCACATCATAAAATTGTGGTTCAGTAATACAATTATAAAAATAGATACATGATTATTTATAAGTAGAATTTAGGCTATAGTATTTCATCACCTCTAAACGGCACTTATTTCTCCCTGGTTATAAATTATGGTGAGGTTTGAAAGCAAGATGTATTCAAATCTTATCAGAGCTGGGTGGTTTTATAGCTACTAATGTGAGCAAAACATATTTGTGTGCAGGTTACAAAGTATTTTCAAGTGAATTAAAAGCAAATTGTGCATTTATATAGCACTTTATAGAACACTTTTGAGTACATTATTTAATTTTGAATTGTCTGATGATCCTATGAAATTGGTTAATTAGATTCATTCACAAATAAGAAAACAGAGTCAGTGGCATTATTTGAATTTCTCACAGCCTTGCTGCTAATAAACAGGTCCCAGTTTTGAATCCTGGAAGCCATGACTCCTCCTTTAGTGTGTTTTCCTGTATCACATGCCTTGCTCTACGTGAGAATGGATTATTAGGAACATAAGAATGATCAGTTGTGCAAACAAAGCATAATGTATAAACATTCATTTGCATTGTGTAGCTATTCTTTTAATTAAGGTTAATGTATTTCACAAGTGTGTTGCCATTTTTTTTTTCATAGTGCCCCATGCAGGGAAAAGGAATGTCTCTTTCATTAAAAGAAAAGAGAGGCCTAATCAACTTCATTATGCTAAAGTCGTAGTATAAATAACTTATATCCTAGTTTTTAGTGCTCCACTGTAGCACTGGAAATACTCATCTGATCATGATCTTCTATTTTTAAAAGTTTGACAAGAAAGATGGGGCAAATATAAGAATCCATGTTTTATAGACGATGCAACAAAATAAAAAGAAAAGTAATGACACATCTCAGTTCAGACTGGATAGCAAAGCCAGGAAGCACCCAACCTTTAGATCTACAGGGCCAAATCAAAAATGCAGTTAATTTATATTCAAATCTTTCAAACATAAAGAAAATTCTGAACTTCTTTCAAATTCTACCAACAAAGCACAATGCACATCCTTGTATTAAAACAATACTACCCAGTGCAGGAAAAAATGGCTGAATCTATTCATTATTCCCTAAGCATTTTAAAATTTGATACAAACATTCATGCAATACTATCTTTAATATGTTTATATAAATATTTATATCACACATACATAAATTTAAAAATTATTCCCAAATGTATATAATGCTTGGAAATATTTTGAATGTTTCACTAGAATTTAAGCTCTGTAAGGTCTAGCTTTCTTGACTAGTTCACTAATGATGAGCAGAGTCGAGTTTTGGGTATAGATTCAACAAGTTTTTTAACAAATGAAATAATTATTTCTGTAAAATAAATATATTTGATCCTCTTCATTTTTTAATATACCAACTTAAATGCTATCTAGTACATGACTAGCATCTTTAACTACAAAGTATCTGTAATGTATACTTCTTCTGTAATATGCTATGTCATTTTGGTTAAGAATATCCACTCTGGGCCACCCCCCAGGTGCAGGGACCTTCCACCATTGTTCAAAATCAGGTTACCCGTAAAATACTCAGTGTATATTAATGTGCCTTAGGGGAAAAACACAATTCTATGTAAATCCATTTTTTCTACACAAGGCTTGACACAAAAAGACTTTCTTGTTAATGTGCACTGTGAATCGCCTAATATACAATCTCAGTCCCCTGGAGGAGATCCTTTGTGGAAATAATCTCTAGACTTTGATCTGAAGATATTTGTCTCTACTAAACCACAGTGACTTAGATTAAATACAGTGCACATATAACTGATGCTGAGAAAGTTATGAATGTAGAGCTATATGTAAAACCTGGACCTTTTTTAAGTTTAATATTTTATAATTGCTAAAAATATTTTTCTGAGAAACAGTAGGGCATTCCTATTAAGTTTATTTATTTTTTTTAAAGATTTTATTTATTTTTGGGGCGCCTGGGTGGCTCAGTTGGTTAAGCGACTGCCTTCGGCTCAGGTCATGATCCTGGAGTCCC